TCTAAAGTTTCTTCCCAGTTTCTTCATAAATTCTAAAAGTTTTGCTGCCCAGTGCAACTGCACTGGTTGTACCAGCTCTGGCCCTGAGTAAGGATTTCCTTAAGTTATCAAAATTTTAGTATTGAGCTTCCTGAAGGTTTTAAATAATGCAATTTTTCCATGTACTCCATATGTCTTTTATTTAGCAGTTCGTTAGCAAATTATGTATAGGAATGAGTTGTATATCAGTTAAATATTCTTTATTAAATATCAGTATGTAAGATAATAGCAGAAAATGTGCTGTGATGTGGAAAGTATTTTTAATCACAAAACTCAGATTTGGATTGTTAAGTAAGCAACAGTATTTATAGGTAAACAAATCATATCAAATTAGCAACAAATTTAAAAAAAAGTCATAAATTGTATTCTCTGTCTTTACTTGATACTGAATTAACTCCATTTCCTCATATGTGTTAAGGAACAGATATCTATTCTTCTCTGTTCTTTAAAATCATTTAACCCTTTTGTTACGTTGATTCTTCTGCATAAAGATTGCTTTTGATAATTTATAGTATTTATATTTTGGGAGAATAACATTAAATATAATTCAGAGTATTTCATTATAATAATTGTATATTTATATTTCAATTCAATCATGTGGTAAAAATATATGTATGGGGAGGATTTTGTTCCTCCTTTTAACATTTAAATTATCATTTTGTGTTTCTCATAACATAAAGAATACATGTTAGATCTGTTCATTTTGTTGTCTGCAGCAGATCTCTGTTCCCTTCCCAGCAAATAGATTTGTAGTTAAAGAAAATGTATAAAATTTCAAGTGTTCATTTTCTGAAGTTTGAAGATTTTTAATGTTGCATATAGGATTTGATGCATTATATAGCAGTGCTTATTATTGAGTAAGTCAGCATTCTGTGTATTACATGGCATACTGACATTTAAATATTTCTAGGCATTTTAACTGCATCTTAAGTACTGGTTGTAGTTTGGCATTTTCCCAGCAAATAACAAACAAATTATATGTCCAATGGTATGACATTGCATATTAGTTAATTTGTAATTCTTGTATCTATATTTTCAGAAATCTGAAAAACATGTTCTAAAAGAAAGTTAAGGGGGTCCTTGGTGATATCAAAATTTTAAGTGGAGTCCTTTCAGTGTTTTGTTCATTTCCTATCGTAATGAGTTTACCATGTTTTTTTTCTCTAAAGCAAGTCATCTTTATATTTTTACATGCTATTTGTATAAGGATGAATGTATGAAATTGCTTACCAGTTTAGTAAGCTGTTTTAAATGTACATATGGAAAATATAGCAGAAAATATTCTGAAAATTATTTTTTAACCAATGACTGTTGATTTGACAGTAGTAGCATTTACGATGGTGACTGTTTCTCGCTTAAACAAATAACAGACTATGAGAAGCATGATACGCTAGGCTTTTTTTCCAGCAGATGCTTACAGAAACTTGTTGGAGTTTATTTTTTGCTGGATTATAATTTGTTTTCACATTTTAAATTTCTTCTCTGCGGCTTAAAGCAAATTATTCTTGTACAATTTTATAGCTGAAAGAACTGATTTCCTTCCCCTTTTGTAGCTGTCCTTTTCCATTGCTAAAGCACTATTACAAATTTTGTTATTTCTTAGAAATTAATTGTTTTAAAAATGTAAGTTTTATTTATCCAATTATATTTATCAATTTATTTTTTTTGGGGGGGGGAAGTCTTTAACTAATATTCATAAATTAGTACAGTGTTATTTTATATGATTTCTTAAAATTACATTATGAATTATTTCAGTTATGTATCCAATGGTATGTTAGTTGACAGTGCATATTAGTTAATTTGTAATTTTTGTATCTAAATCTTTCAGAAATCTGAAAAACATGTTCTAAGAGGAAGTTAAGGGCAGGTATACAAAAAGAAGTTATTTTTGCAGTAGAACAGGAAGTTACAATTGCAGTGAGTGATTTCTGGAGGAAGTTTTTTGCCAGTGAATTAATTAAAGATAAGGAATACCAGATAAAGTATGCAATTACAGATTTAAGGAATACAAGTTTGTAATCACGTAGCAGTACAAGTGTGCATGTTCAAATCAATGACAATGTTGCAATAACAACAGCAGGCTCTGCCATATTACAGTGATAAGTAATGCATAGCATCACACATATATGTATAAAAATTGTACAGCTTCCTTGTCAGTATAGTAGTGTTGCTAGCAGTTATCATTGGGTCTGTATTTAAATCATGGAGAAAGCTGAGATTTTTATAAGTATATAGTGTCTGTGCACAATGAAGGCACTTAAAATATTGGCAAGCTGAAAAATCCTCTTGAGAGGTTTGGTGATAGGGAGAGAGGGGTAGGATATCCTCAGATATCTTCACCTGGGTGTCTGTTCAAAATTGGGGAACTTCTCTGTTCTCAATTGTGTAAGATTGGTCTCCCCCTCTGCTGCACTTTGGGCAGCATTCTTCATGAGAGGATAGCTAAATGATTGATAAGTATTGGTCATTCTTAATGCATTAAGTTGCAAGTGGCACAAGAGCATAGTGCATTAAGTTGTTCAAAGGCCTTCCTATCCAAAGCAATGTTCAAAGGCCTTGCTCTCCAAAGCAATGCACTTTGTAACATCGATGCATGGATCTGATCAAAAGTATCAGATCTCTCATGGATCTTTACAGCTGCTTTTTGGCTTTTGCAACAAGGTCTTCATCAAGTCTAAGTTGCCCTGTAAAAATAAATAAAGGGAGTACGAATCTAGGGATTATTTAGGCCACTTCAACTAATCTGGCCTAATAATCCATTTTAGTGGATAAGTCACATTGAAACAATACTGCACAATTTGACTGAAATGTACAGCCAGCCCTGATCACTGAAATTACCTGCTAAGACAAATGCTTGCGGGATATCATGGAGTAATTCTGGCAACACAACTTCCAAAAATATCCAGTATGTTCTGTTGAGTAGTGTTAAGAGAAGGTATGGGCTTACTAGATGATCTCTCATAATTCTTGCCCAAAATGTTTATGGTAGTCCATCATCGAGCACTAGATGGCCTTGTTGCTCGTGGGTGTATACATCCATATGTGCCAATTGTGCATGTCCACAACACCCTCCTTGAATATGTAGTTTAATCCATGAAACAAACCCAGGCTGGAAAATTCACCTGTGCTGGTGTTTTGGGAAAACCAAGTTGTAAATGCAAGTTTCAGAGCTTAATTGATTGTGTTAAGTACATAAAGACTCATGGTGCAATATGTGAAATATTGCAAACACAATATATGCAACATTGAAATTGGATTGTAAAATGTTAACATTATAAGAAATCATTCACATATTTGTACTTGGATCATGGTCAACTTTGCATTTGACCGATTTTTTTTTTTTTTTTTTTTTTTTTTTTTTTTTTTTTTTTTTTTTTGAGATAGGTAAATGCAACATTTGGTTCTACCCACAATGTTTGTGTACTTTAAATGTCCCCGCTGTAACTTCATATTTGATGCAAAGGCTCAAATGTCTGATGATGGGCAACTGCCAGTTTGGATAATGGCACTGATATGAACACTGTGCTGCACAGCCATTTCCTCTAGTTTCCTAATAAATAAATATATCTCTATCAGTGCTGTATTAATATTACATTCTACACTGAGAGTATTGGTATCTCGAATGATCCTGCAGTGCAAGTCCTAACTCATTTTCTTCCAAAGAGCTCCCACTAGTTTCATTCATTGCATTTATAACCCAATGTTCTTTTGTAAAAATTGCTCATTTTTGTATACCTTATCTAAAGCCCTTAAAATTATTTAAGGACTTCAGTCATACTGCATGTTAATTATGTATAAGGATGTAATAGTGTAATATTTTCAGTAATAGTGTGTGTAAAGCATTAACTGCTTTTCTCATTTTATGCATTTGAATGTCTCATGGTTGTAAAAAGATAAAAGCAACCAGCAAAAAGTAATAGGAAGGGTAGATTTTATTAGCAATTTATGAAATAAAACTAGGTGGAACTTTCTTTCTTTCCACCAAAAGCAAGGCAGCCAATCCACTGGGGCTGTTAGCATATTGGCCAGGTAGCCCCGCTGATGGAATTAACTTGGTCCACACAACCCAGTTTGGTGCATATTGTGCTCAAGACAAGTGCTGGGGGGTGTAAACAAATGCTGGGCGAGTCAGTGGTGCAGTGATGGAAGAATTTCAGTTTTAAATTTACAAAGTTATAGGCTGTTTGGAGTTTTGTGACACAAAGCCCATGGGGGGTTAAGTTGCGCCAGACAAAAGGTTGTGTATTTCCAAAACTTATGATAATAGAGATAAAAAAAACACGTGCACCATTCAGTGCATACTCAAGAGTGGAAATTTAAGACAACGTTACATATAGGTATAAAATAGCAAGCAATAAGGTCAAACACATAAAATTCTTTTACGAAAAACCAAAAATCTATAGTTAAAAGATAAATTTTGATCATATGAATCAAACTAGAACGGGTTAGATCTTCTGAAACCTATACGGTACAAAGTCTTTAATCCGGACTTGTCGGGACTTCGGCGATTCCGGATTAGAGGTTTTTCCGAATTATAGATCATCAATTTAAATCTGGTAAGATGGCATGCAGAAATTATAAAATTAAAAATATGAAACCTTAATTTATGAAATAAAGAGCAATTATGATCTAAAGGGTGTCAAAATTTACAAAAAAAAAAAAGCTTAATATTTATTTGTTTACTTTATTAAACATTTCTTTCAATGTAAGTTGTTTAAGTTGCTTCATTTTTTGTGCTAATACTTTCTCTTTAATTCTGTAAACAGACATAATTTCTTGTTCAGTTCCACTGTTCAAGTCATGTAATTGCTGTGTCAAGAATACGGACTAACTTGTCAATTGAAATTTTTTTCATTTTCAATAAACTCTGTCACTTTCTTCACTATTGGAAGCGGTACATTGAAACATGCTTTCGCTTTGTAGATCCTTTGGCAGCTCCAAAATCGGAAATTCTGTTTGATATAATCGAAAGTTCAAGCTTACTTTTTATAAAATTGCTCTAACAGTCTGCAAAAAATAATAAGCCGGATCCAATTAGAAGATTAAGGAACAACACAATTTGTAGCAGTAACTGAAAAAGATAATTAGATACTTTTAGCCTAGCTTATACTGTACGTTATACATTAACGCATTATGCGTTTACGCATGCACAGAAAGTTTGTAACTTTGAGGTCTGGATTATGGACGTCCGGATTAAAGACTTTGTACTGTATTGGGTTCAAAGCATTCAAATAGCGTAGTAGAACTTTGTTGCTTTCAAAAAGTTAAAAATGTTAAAATGTGGTTTTTTATCAACTGAATGTTTTGCTGAAATCTCACAAGTATTAAAATAAAAATTTTGAAAGCGATTAAAATTTGGACAATCAATTAAAATGTGTTTAACGGTTAAAATAGTGCTGCATTCAGCATATAACTGGTTCGCCCATCAACAGGTATTTGTATGTTAGCCTTGTGTGACTGATTCTCAATCAGGTCAGAAGGACCTGCTCCTTTCAGTTTAGAGAACATTTTCAATGTTCTATTGTAGGTTTTATATTTTGTAATTTATTGTTTATAACTGCAATATCCCAAAGCTTTTGCCATTTCATCAGAATTTTCCTCCAATGAGAGTGTTAATATCTGAATAGGGAACGGTTTGGTTCAATGTCCCACAGGCACATTTTGCAGTGATATCTGCCAGTTTGTTTCCTTTTGGCTTGGTATCCAGCAATAAAGGATCCAATAACCTTTGGCCTTGAAACTAACATTGAGCTTTAGCACTTCTACAATTAATAGATTTGTGTTATTCACATATGATTCGAGAGCTTTTAGCTCCATAAATGAGTCTGTAAATAATGAAATTTTTCCTATGTTGTTTATTTATGAAAGATAGAGCTAATAGCAAAGCAACGATGTATGCAGTAAAGATAGTACAAGCGAGATGAAGTTTTCTTCATTCAGTATTATTCTTGGACATGAAGACAGAGCTGACGTGATCCTGGGACTTTGATCCGTCTGTATGCACTGCAACATAGTCTTTATAAGCCTGTCTATGTTCATAGAAAATCTGCTCTTACACAACATGACTGGTGCTAGCTTTAGCTAAGCTGGAAAATATGTTGAGAAGCTCAATGTGAGCATCTTTCCAAGGAGGATTTCCAAATATTTTACTGCTTGAACTTTCACCTCTTAGAAGCCATGTTCTTGCATCCACTGTTGAATGCATAATCCCAAAGCAGGAATACAAGAAAGATGCACTTGGTAGAGCAAATAAAACTGGCTACTAAGCACTGAGTGATTGGCTGGATGATCAGGATGCGAAAAAGTTTTTGAAATAATAGTGAAGAGACAACTACTCATGTCTCAGCTGAAGGGGTGGCTCGAAACATTCTATATACAAACTCTGAACAGGAGATGTTTTGAAAGCTGCTGAACAAATTCTCAGGGCTTGGTGAGAAACAGCATCAAGCTTCTTAACAACAGAAGGTCGTGCCAATCCATAGCCAACTGATCCGTAATCGAGTTTGAAGTGAATAAGAGCTCTGTAAATTCAGAGCATGGAAGTTTTATCTGCTCCCCAGGAGGTATTTGATAATACTTTCAAAATGTTTAATACTTTTAAACACTTTTTCTTTAGGTATGATACATGAGAAAGGTGAGTTTCTTATCAAATGTTACTCCTAGAAATTTAACTTCTACGACTACTGGAACTACTGAGCCTTCTAGGAAGACTTCTGGATCCAGATGAAGATTTCTTTTATGGCAGAAATGGACACAAACTGTCTTTTGATTAAAGAACATGAATTCGTTTTTATTTGACCACATTACAGAGTTACAGATAGATAGTTACAGCTCAAGTGCTATCAATAGGTATCCACAATGTGAACAATAAATTAGTACTGCTGATAGTTAAATTACAGGTATAACTGAGTTATATAATCAGCTGAATAGTGCAATAATTATGAATATGAACTATTAGCAGAGTGACTGATAAAAAAGTAAAAATAATACATTAAATAAGGCAAAATACATAATTCAAGAAAATAAGTATAAACACAAAAGAACAGAAAAGGCTAACTTAAAAGCAATTAACTACAAGTATGGAGTATACGGGGGCTGAAAAGTGACTTGGTGAACTGTGAATTTTATAACAGCTTCCTTGAAAGTTTTGCTTCATTTGCATAAATTGCCTAAAGATGGACAGTTAGAGTTTGTGTTGAATGCCAATTTTTACATCTTCTAATAGTTTTTATTCATTTAACTAATTTTGTTAGAGGCGGGAAGCTTGAAATAAAATCCTTAATATATATTTTCGACTAGAGCACACTGTACTAATCATCCAGATTTTTAGACTAGCATAAGCCTTTAGAAAGAACTACAAATGAGCCTTTAGAATTATATAACAGCAAGCTTGAAGCCACCTTTTGAGAATATTTACAATTTAATTGGGGAAAACTGAGAAATTACTACGTTTCTCTTTGCATGTGCCATTATTGTGTAGTGATTACCATATCCAACTGGTAGTTGCAAAATCTCTAGTTCACTCCTGCTGAAAGCATAGTTAATTTTTTTTTAAAGTTTGTGCCTATTTATGTAAATTCAATAAAATTTATACTAATTCCATGGGGCTAGTTACAAATTTATTAAGTTGGACTGTTTTACCCAATTTAATTTTACAAATGGTCAGGTGAGCTGCATTTGTTTTGTAGTTCTTTTCTTTCTCCTTTTCTGTGGGAAAAACAAATATACTATCTGGTTCAGGGAGTGTTTAGTTTTGGTCAAAATTATGCATAAAATTATCAGAGTCAGTAGTTTTATTTTAAATTTGCAGATTTTGATCACTTCTTGTTAAAAATCTAGAGAGAATTTTTCTGTAACATTGACGCAAAACAAAAATTTTACGAAGTGGATGTTTGATTTACGAAGACTGCATGAGAAACCTTTTTCAAAACTCTAGTAGTGGTTTCAGCAACAGATATACTCTATTAGTATATCTGTTGCTGAAACTGTCCTCATAGAATTCTGTATCTTATTTAGAGAAATTTGATAACTGGTAGTAAGTTTAAGATCAATATTTAAGAGAATAAAGTCTAGTTACCTTTCTCAAACACTATGTACACAGAAACACGAATAAAAATTACTTTTACTACGCTTGCTTGTAATTTCACTAAATATTGTATTGATTACTAAATTTTCGTCTGCATTATTCCCTCTTAGCTGTAACAATAGAACTTTTACACCTTCTGTTAATAAATTTTATAAATGTTTTAAATATATTTATTTTTAATGTATAATGGATATAAGATTTCAAGCTATATCAAATAAATGGTATTGTGGTAAAAATACAAGGGCAGACCAGTGTGTAATAATACTTTTATTCAGATACTTTATGGGTTATTTTTGACAGTTAAAGGTATAAATTTTTATATTATTGTTAAGCAGCAGTATATATAACAATATAATAAACTTCTTTGGAGCTTTTTTTTTCCTTGCAAAGTTTTCATATAATTACACCACACACATTTTTATGAGCAGTATATGTAAAAAAAATTTCTCTTGAGGGAGAGATTTCAAATTTCATTATTTTTGTGTAAATGTAATAAAGTCATTTTATAATAAAATATCTAACCGAATATTATTTTCCTACACCATTTTTATTAGTCATAGTTAAATTAAATGAAGTTGTTGTATCCCATTCATTAAAAAAAAAAATCTATTAACTTACAACTGTAGTTTGCAGCATTTTAGATGTATAGGTTTAATGCAGTTAAATGTTATATACAGATAGGCCTTGTATGCTTAACCATAATCCAGTATGTGTTATTTCATTTTGTAAATGTATGTTTTTATTGCTTGTTGTTTTATACGTGCTATAAAATGTTAAGTTTTAAGCATGCATTATTTCATACACATTGCAGAAACAGGTGATATGATACTCCAGAAAGAGCATATGTGCCATGAATCGATTTTTGAGTGCTTGCATATTATCCTGTTGACCATGAAAGTTGGCAGAGATTCTGCCAAAAATGCATCAATCATTGTGTGGAATTCAGGAGGATATGATGTCTCTTTATTTAATAAAGAATCAATATTCAACCCACTTCGTGTTTACACTTCGTAAAAAGGGCTTTCATCAGTTTCTATTATTTTGTTAGACCCTTCAGTTTTATCAGAAGGTCTGTTTAAAATGCTGTAAATACAAACTTCATACAGATCATTGCTTCAGTCTATAAGTGTTTTGTCGGCCATATTCATATTCAGCTGACCATATTGTGCCTAGTACTACATATGTTTTTTTTGATGGTAGGATACCATAATTTTGAAAATAATTCATTGCTTGCTGCTCTGTAGACGGCAGATCCCAAATTTTAATCATTTGTTTTTCATGTACCAAGAAAAAAAAAAAAAAAAATACAGCAATAACAGTTAATTTACATTCTTGTTCATAAAAAGTACAGAGAATTTATTAGGATTACATCAAACGAATATAGAGATGTTATAATATTGGTTCACGATCTGTAACTGATTCAAAATTGTGCTGCTTGGCAGTAGTTTCACAGGTGACTAGATAATATGTAAATACAAATTTTTGTTCCGATTAGTTGAGTTTTTTGTAAAAAACATCATTATTTGTGATAATATAGAAGCATCTTGCATGTTCTGTCAACTTTGAAACCTGCCTGTTAAATCTCTCGAATGGTTTTGAGTATAGCATTTCTCTGTTTTATCATAATGAGTGAACCCTGAAGAACAAAGTTTGTGTGGAATAGAATGCTGTGCATACTGATGTCGTTTTGTTGGTGTAGCAGGGAAGGAGAAAGAATAAGGTTTTTATTAATTTAAACTCAGCCTTTCCCTTGAAACATGGTAGCCATCAATCAACCAATGAATATTGGAATTTTGCACGGCCAGAAATGTAGATATAAAATAGCCTTTTTAAAATTGATGCAACTCTAAGTCCATCCTAGATTTCTTGAGATATTTTAATATGAAACCTGCTGTAGGATACCAAGGACTATATGCAGGTATTTTTAAAATGCTTCCATAGGCATAGGGACACAAGTCTATGATAACTGAATACGCAATTTTTTGAAAACATGTCTGTTTAAAGAGAAAGTATTAACACATAAAACTAAATTGTGTGAACAACGTATGCCAAAGAAATATTTTTAATGAAACAAAGCAATTGCTAGCATTGGGTTTTTTTATTGTAAATTTTGGTTTCTTTAAAATTATAAATGCTTTATTATTTCACAAAAACGTTTCATTTTTAAAATTTTATAATTTTTACATGTAATTTTACTAAACTTAAATTGATTTAAAATGCGAAGTCGCTGAAGTCCCAACCATTCTGGATTTTACACTTTGTTCTGTAATATAAATATCTTCCAATATGTAAAAATTCGTTCGGAAAAATTTCTCACTAAGCAGATAACTGCTTTATGTTTTACTCTATTAAATTATTTATCTACTTTCTTTAAAATTCGTAACTTTTTATTAGAGTTTTTAATTGCTTTTTGGAGGGTATTTTAAATGGCTGTATATGTAAAAAAATCACTTGCATTATGTTGTAACATTATTATCAAACTGTTTGTTTTTCAGATGGATTTCTCAGAAATACTTTATCGTCAAATATGCCTTTGATCACTGAATCATCTTTTGAAGTTGATTCGCCAGTAACTGAAAATTGTCATCTGCAGAGTGCATACTATAAAAATAATTTAGAAGTAGCATCCTTTCTCTCACAGCCTTTACATGAGCAAAAAGCTGAATCTTTTGGCATATTTAATTCAAAGGATTTTGTTTGCAAGTTCTGTGGCAAAAGCTTCAAAAGAAATGCTTATTTACGTAATCATCTTCGTATACATACTGGAGAAAAGCCCTTTCATTGTCGATTTTGTCCAAAAGCTTTTGCCTCTCAACCAAATCTTATAAGGCATCTTTATATTCATACTGGGGAAAAACCATATAGTTGTCAGTTGTGCTGTAAAAAATTTATCAGGCGTGATCAACTTGCTATCCATTCATGTAATCCAAGGTAATTGTGAACAACTGCATGCATTAAATAAAAAAACAGTGTGCATTTAAGATTTGAAAATGAAATGCAATATGTATCTGGTTGTAATGAAAGTTTTCCGCCAAAGAAACATTCTTAATAAAGTTAGAAAAAGAAAACATGAAAGCAGTACCTTTAGTGTGGATAGTAATCACCACCCATATCTGTGATTTCCTGCTAACATTTTGGCAGTTTTTCAAAGCCTTCAGCCCAGAAACTTGGTGGTTGTGAGTCCAAAAATAGATCAACCTCATTTTGGATGCCCTGTGCAGAATGGAAGGCATGATAGTTCCATTTCAGACACCTTGTATGTAATGATAACGATATTTTTTTACGAATTTCACTGCACAGTGTTCTATAGCAAGTCTCTTTCTTAAAATGCCAAAAATCGTTTAACAGAATATGATTAAACAGGGCAACATGAACTGTTTGCTCAGACAATATTTTCGGTGGTGGGAAACTTTAATTAAAACCTGATATTTGTCGGAGCATTAAGCAAATTGATAGCGAAAATGTTCTCTTCCTATTCCTTTTCATTATTACTATATTTTGCATATTTCTGTTAAGTTTTTAAATATATTTCCTGATAACATGGTATTGATTAGTACTCCAAAGTTTTTTTTTTTTTTTCATTGTGACATATGTTTTTATTATGCATGCTTTTATTGTAAGGATAATCATAAAATTATTCACCTCATAATATAATACAGTAATGTTCCATATACATTCTAATACTGTGAATAATATAGTCTGTTACTTTAAAATAGAAACTTCAAGGTTATTTACTGCTGCCCAGTTTGATTTGTAACCATGGGAGCAACAGCTGCAGGAAAAAAGGTCTAGTTGCTTAATTCTCCCTCTGCCCCAACTTCATTTCTGTTTAGCATGTTTCTATTCATAAAAAGCACACAAATGAAGGTTGATTTAAAGTTCAATCTTAAATGATGTGGCAAAAATAAATGCTGTGTGTTGATGATGACATGAGTTATGATTGTGAATGGGAGGCTGGCAACGGCCTTGAAATGCCTCTTCTAAAGTAATAGACTATAGTTAATACTGAATAAAAGTGAATATTTGTGTAACATTACATAAATGCAGTAAAGTTTAGTTGGTAAATTATACACCATAAGACATTACCAACCTCATATAAAGAGTACTGAACAATACACTTGTGCAATATTACAGATTATGTTAAAGTAATGTATAATATATTGTACATTAAATGCAGTGTTCCCTCATTTTTTTGTGTACATGTGAAAGAAGAGAATTCTGATTCCTTGTCTAATTTGCAAGAATAGACAAGTGTGGGTGAAATACTATACGGTGATATGTGAAATACTATACAGTGATGCCTCTTTACACACAGCTATACACACAGCATTTTTCTTACTGAGTGCATGTTAGAAAACTTAATGCTCATTTCTTTAATTAAAAAAAATATTTTGGCTACCATAAGTCATAGATATTGTATCAGCAAATACAACTATTTTGCTATCTTAAATCCATTTGAATTAATTTGCTATACTGAACACTACAATATACCAGGATTTCAGAAAGCCGGCATTTTATAAATCTTAATAAGAAACCTCCAGTGTACAAAAGTTAATTTGATTTTTTTCAAACTTAAAAGCACATTTTAAAAAAGCACATCTTGTGCAATGTGAAGAAAACTTTTGTTATAGTATTACGTTGATTTCATTTTGTAACTGACCTTTGCATTGTATCGTATATTCTTTATTTAAAAGAAGTAGTTCAGAGACTTTACATCTTTTGAACAAGGAGTTGGTGAGTAGTGTCATAACTGTTACAACTGAAAATGAGCTTTTCCTAAAAAATCAATATACACCTATTATAGCAAGGCCTTGTTTTTGCTAAAAGATACATGAAGCACATCTTCAAATTAAAAATGAGTCAAGTTCAAATATATCTACATGATTAATATCCATTGGATTATTTGTGTTTTGAAAGAAGGTGTTTTCGATTATGAACACATGAGAGTGTTCTGAATGTTTATTTTGGAATATTAAGTGTACATTTATTTTATCTATTGAATTAAAAGAATGTTACAATGTTTCTAAAAAAAGTTCATTTGTATTTTATGTAATCATGAATGCCAACTGCAGATTTTGCTTATTGCGGTTTGTTTCTCTGAAGAGGCTTTTGTAATATTTGTATTGCATAAAAGTAAAGCTTCAAGAATTCCTTGTAAACATGTTTTTATTATTGATATCTGTAATTTATTTCTTGGAGGGTTATTTTTTTAAGATAATAAATAAATGAGTTCTATATTTTTGTAGTTCTGTTTTCAAGAACATATCGCCTAACAGCATTTTTAACACAAAACTAGTATCTTATATTGTTTCAGCTCTTGCATGAATGATTATGTTGTTGATGGATTCATATTTGCATTGGATAAAAGTAAAGCTTCAAGAACCTCTTGTAAACATGTTTTTACTATTAATATCTTCAATTTATTTCTTGGAGGGTTATTTTTTTAAGATAATAAATAAATGAGTTCTGCTGGTGTAGTTTTTTTCTATTGGCCCATATCCAAAAATAAATAGATTTTTCATAACCACCATCTTGTGGATATCTTGTAACCATCATCATTGCTTTCTATGTTATACCTTTTTGTGGATTTGTAAAAATCAGGGAGTTTCTTTAATACAATTTAATTAATAATTATTCATACTGTGTGAAGATAAATCCTATACTGATGAATTTGCAAAGTTGTATTATGAGGTGAATCATTTATGGGGCTTTGAGATCTCCGCCTTTTTAATAAAATGTTTTACTTTCTTTGCTGTACTGTTTTTCTTTGTTGTCTTTCACTTTATTTAAATATGATATATTACAAATTATAAGAAGTTAAAATTTATATTACAAATATAATGAATTCTTAAACTAAAAGATTTATTATTTGTCAACATATATATAGATAGATAGCATGTTTCTCATAACTTAAAATATTGTATAATTATGATTGCTGCATTTTAGACTTCTCATCTTTTCAAAAACAAAAGTAATTTAAGAAATGTATCAAATAATTTAACTTTGTTTCTGAGTTTACAGTATTTGAGGCTTTAAATTTAAGAAAATGTGTACTCATTTAATTTCAAAAGTCTTAATACTTTAATGGAAATAATAGATTTCATGAAGTATAATACAGTCATTTACTTGGATATGTAAGTTTTCTACAGTGCACAGTTTTGTTCCTACAATTTTTAAGCACCTCAGCTTTGAATTTCATTCATATGTCAAGGATTTAATCATAGGAGAAGTTTGTGATAATATTCTTCTCTGTTGAGCTTTTATTTTAAAATGTTTATTTATTTATTTCTAACTCATTCACAGATAAGAAAAGGAAGAAACCAACAGCTACTGGTGTTAGCTTAGGAAAACCTGAAGGCATTAGAAGGATTTGTGATGATAATTATGTATCTCCTGATGCACATCCTGTTGATGTTAATATTACTGATTATTGCGGGAAAGTGTTTTCTACAAATGACATTTTAAAACAGCATCATTTACAGCATTCTGGTATGCAGCACCAACAAATAAAGGTTATTCCCTTCACTTGTGAGCACTGTGGAAAAAATTTCAATAGAAGAGGTAACTTAAACACACATTTACGTGTTCATACTGGACTTAGGCCTTTTCAGTGCCAACTATGCGGCAAAACATTTTCCATGAAGCATCATTTAAATGATCATAAACGAACTCATACAAAAGAAAGACCTTTCAAATGCAATTATTGTATGGCAGCTTTTGCAACTAAATCTAGATTAAAATCTCATGTATGTGCTAGACATGGATGCAAGGGAATGTATTAAATGTATTATAAAATAATGAAAACAACTTGCCTAAATTTAGAAATTGCTAAGAGTTGATGTCATTAGTTTTATAGTAGTTCCAAGTTCTCGTTTTGTAAGTCATGCACAGTTATTAGTTGAAAAATTGTAAATTACTTCATGACTGGTGTAAAAATGTGGCTTTAATCAAGTGAAATTTGGACGAGTTCTGCAGTTTGTTATATAATTTGGAATTATTATTTCTTCTGAAATTTGTACCCTGAAATTGTAATTTCTTGTGAAATAAAATGTAAATGTATTTTTTCCCAAATGTTGTGTTTTTATAAATGTATGTTAATTGCTCTAAAGAAGGTGTATTGGGAAACTTGTTATGATTTTAGCAGAAAAATTATTGAAGCGTTTTATCTCGATGCATTCAGTATTAAAACACTCAAGAGAGTTTATCGAGCTATCAGTTTTATTAAGTGAAAGAAAAGTGACTTGGAAACTGCAGTAAATTCATTGCTGAGAACTGTAAAAGAAGCTTTGAAGTGCAGCTGTAATGGATATCAGTTACTTAGCAAAAATTCTCCAAAAATTTTTTAACATAGTAATATTCATGTAGAAGTGATTGAAAATGCAGGAAGAAAATATAGCAGGATTATGCAGAGAGAAATAAATGAAGCCTATTAAATAGTAGACACTCTGTAATCCCCCCCCCAAAAGTTTCTATTATATATTTGTTAACAGAGGGTTTATTGCTATGAAATTGTGTACATTTTAATGTCACTTTCATATGAAACAATATATCTGTTACCCTAATCAAATTGTGCTAATCATGGAAGTTTTGAAACAAGCTTTGTGCACCTAAAGGCCATGTTAATTTTGAACTTTTTATTTCATGTTTAATTAATTTTTCATACTGAACATTTTATTTTTCATTGTAACAATGAAGTTTAATTGCTAAGTTCTTCAGGATCTTTTAAAATTGCCTTGTTGTATTCTTCACCTGGTTTAAATTTTATTGATATATTAGTTTGAAATTACAGGTATTTTAGATATGTATATAATAGAGTAAATCCAAAATTATTGTTTCTAAGTCTTCTTCTTATATCATACTAGAATAATTTATGAAATATGAATAATTGAACAAAAGTGGTATTTTTAATGAAACTAAATTATATTTATTATTTTGCAGTACAAAAATGATCTTGCAAATAATATTTTGTAATATTTTGCTAGAATTAGTTTAAAATTTGGCTATATAGTATTTTAAGTATTTTAAGTTTTAAGGAGTTTAAGTGACCATGTGTACTTTATTATATTTAAAAAAAAAAACTGGCATAAATATATTTATTATTACTTATAAAATATATTCTGATTTATTTTAATTTTAAATCTCATTCATTTACTTTTTTTTAGCTTTTAAAAACGAATTTATCTAAATAGAATATTATTATTATGTTAGTGTTATATATATTTATAACAGTATGAAAAGTTCATATTGATGTAGAATGCAATCTGCCACTTTTGTAATAGCATCCCCTAAACACTGTACTGTAAACCACCGAAAGAAAACTTTATCAGTCATGCAGGCAGTACTAATACTCAAGCAACTGTGTGCTGGGTGATTTTGAAGCTTTATTTGATTTTGGTCCTCAAGTTACTACGCAGCTTTCAGAGTACTGCATCACAAATGCTTCTGTGTTATCTTGCAGAAGCATGGTGCAGAATCATTAATAAAAGTGATTTTTCAATGACATCCCTACTTTTGTTTTGTGATTGTGAAAATGATTTAAATTTAATGGATTTAAAATTTAATAGGTTATTAAATTAATTTATGAAATCATTTTAATTTATGTATTGTTAATAATATGTATTTTCATGTTTACAAATAACATATTAATAGCATCATCTAAGAAATGAACAATTAATAAGAAGTGGTAGATCAGATACTACATCAATACCAAAAGGTTGCAATGCATTCATACAATGTTTCTTTTGAAAATTATTTTTGTTAAAATAGCACAAATTTTAAAATTAAAAACATGTTTAAATTAATCTTCAGTTAAAACAAGTATTGCATAGTTATCTCTTCAGTTTGTGATTAATTTGATCTGTAAAAATTTCTCATGTTTTATATTTAATCCATTTTCTTAAACTAAGTATTTCTATAATTAAATAAATAAAATGGTTAAAACAAGCATTATATGCATTGAAAATTCTGACAGTCATGTTTAATTTTTAACTTATTTGATCTCTTATGATGATACTGATGTTATGTGAAATTTCAGAATCTGAAGGGATTGCAATTTATTTTATATGCATATTAATGAAATTAATCATAGAAATAACATACTGTAAATTAAATAATCATGTGAAATGTGCAATCAAAAATATCAACTTAGGAAAGGTAGGAAACCTGCGTTTGAATATTTAAAAAAATAATTTTATGATTTTGTTTTTATATTTTAAGAGTACTGAAAATGCAAAAGATTCATTTTCGAGTACTGTTTATTTGTAGGAAGTAATATGAAAATATCTCTCAGCATTTCGAGAACTATAATTTTTTTTCAATGACTAATTTACTTATTATATTTGTGCAGCTTATTATTAATGGGAAAAATATTTTATTTTTGGAGTTTTAGTTTAAAAATATTTTCTCTGTATAAATTTCATTTTGTTTCATGATGTAACTATTCATCCATTAATTTTTTTCCCCCCCAGAACTTGATGCAGTGCTTTCAGAAAGCAGTGTCAGTTTCTTTGGAAAACAGCAATTCATCATGAAAACAACTGGAAATAATTTCACCTGCAAGTATTGTGGAAAGGTTTTTAGCTACAAAAGTCATTTCAGAATCCACCAGTATGTTCACACTGGGGAAAAACCATTTGCTTGTGATACATGTGGAAAAAAATTTAGCCAAAAGAGCAATCTGAATGTTCATCTCCGTATTCACTGTAGATATTAATTATTTTATTGGAATTATATATATATAAACTATGTAACTATTTTATCCATATGACATTTATTTTCATTATGTTTTTAGTCTAATATATTGTTCAATAAACATTCTTCCATGTTTAAAACACAGAATGTGTGCTTCTACCAGTTGTATCACATGAGGAAATTTTGCTTTGAAAAAGTCTCTCTTTCTTCACATTAAGAATAAAATAAAGCAAGCATATTGATAATGACTTATTTTGCTGTGAAACTGCTAGGGTTATTGTACGTATTAGAATTGATCGAGTTGCAGAGTATATTTTAACTTGGGAAGAAGCAAGTCCTGTACTAGATTATTAGGAAGAAATATTCAAGTTGAGTAATGTGCTGTTATAGTAAACTTATTTGGAAAATACAGCAGTGATATTTTACTTTTTAATATTCTAATTTAATCTCCATTTTTAGCATTTTAATTTTAGTGATATGGTGGTATTGTATAATTATTTGAAGGTGAAATATTTGTGATCTTATTCTTTTATCATTGACCATATGTTGTTTTACCCAATTTGTTCTTTTTGTAGTTTTTATAATATTGTTGTTGACCTTTTAATTACTTTAAAAAACTATGATTACATAGCACAGTCCTTTCCCAACCTAAGTACCATGAAAATTTTAACCTCAGATTCCTGATTACGAAGCCGCCTTCTTTGGAAGGTTAGGCTGCTGAATGGTTCCTTTGTACTCTGTTGTTCTTTTGTTATGCACTTATGAAGGCATCGTTCTAGGACATCACAGGCAGTCTCTTTCTATCATTTCCACCTCTGCATTTTGCCTGTATGACACAGAAAATCATTATGCTGCTTCAGTTCCAACTTGGCTGTTGTGAGAGTACTAGGTCGATTGTTTCACAACATGCTATTTAAATGCTTTCAGGTGAATGTACAGTGTTGCTAAGTTGTCTGTGTAAAATATTTCAGCAGAAATGACCTAATTGTGTCTTTTTTTGAATTTGTGTTTTAACAAGTGTGATTGTTTGTATAACATAAGTCAGATTGTTATTATTTGCAAACAAAGACTTTATTTCCTGTTACCCTACAAGAAAGAAGTACCTTCACGTGATGAAATAAACAATGGTGAATCATTTTTCCTTATAATTAACCATTTTTTTTGTATGCAATCAAAAAATATTTGAGATATTTTGACAATGGGCACCGCATGTGTAATTTGTATAGCTTGAACGTAGTAATTATAAACATTTCTGTCAACAGAATGCCTGTTGAGGAAGAAACTAAAATCTTTCCTAATATGATTTTGTAAATTTTTGTATTTCAGATGCCCAAGTTATGATGCTTATTTTGTATCTTCTATTATAAAACAATTTTTTTTTAGTTTTATGTGGTTTACATATCAGTGGTGCCAAGAAAATTGCATTAACATCTTTCTACCAAACCTCATTCATACATAGATACGGATTTTAACTATTTCAAACATCTGCAAACTCAAATTCAGATGCAAAGTTCAGTATTGTTCTAGTTTGCAATCTACTGCTTTTATTTACTTATTTATTTTTTGGATGATACCACTAAAATTAGTTGTTGGTTTAATCATTTCTTTTCCCTGCCATTTTATTGTATGTTTGAATATGAATATTTATTGCATATTCAATTTAGTTACAATCATCAAACCTTAAACCACCAAAAGAAAGTTTATCAATCCTACAGATGATACTAATTTGAATTAATGGAATCAATTTAATTTATTCTTAATTATTTGTATTTATTTTCATATTTAAAAATAGTATTTTAATGGTACCATCTAAAAAATAACTAACCAAAACAATAGATTTCATACTGCATCATTATCCTAAGTTCTTTCATGAAATCAGACACAACAGTATCAAATCAAGCTGTAGGAGTAAGTTTCAAGTCATTTTTCTTTTATTAGCTTGTGTGGAAATTGTCAAAATTATCCCTTGGAATTGATGAAGTAAAGGTTTTTGGAAAAGGTGCCACTTTCAAATAATATGATCAGCGGGTACATTGAAAGCATGTTGGTTAGCATAGAAATATCCAAGAAATTTGTGAAGTTGAAAAATGTTCTGTACAGGTTGATGAATCAACAGCTGTTAGCAATTATTGTAACCTAATTGTACTTGTTCTCATTCCCAATGAAAAAGAGTATTATTTATTCTGCAAAGAATTTCAGAGACAGAAAGTGGGAAAGAAATCTTTAAAGTGATCAATGAGTATTTTGATATGAAATCTGATTAACTGAATTCTAGGTTACTGCAAAAAAGGGGTTTCCATTCATCAGTGAAAGTGTAATTATTTTTTTACCATTTGTTACAACATACGTGTTTGAGCACAGTTTTATTTCTGTGTTTACTCTGGAGAATTTAAAGAGATAATCATTGAAAAGTTGTGATCATAAATTGCATATAATGCTTTTGATCATGGAGCCAGATGTAGAAAAGCTGTATTCAGAGAAACTAGTATGTCACCGAGATAAGAAAGTAATAATATATTAATTATGGCAAAAGAGTATACTAGCAATATAACAAATATTTAAAATGTTTATTTTTTCATTCAGTTTTTATTTGCTAATTTATACTACATATAGTCAGTAATTCTTTTGTGTGTAATTAATTTTAATTTTCTATTTTCATATCATAATTATATAAAATAAGTATTATAAAAAATTAATCACAGTTTTAGTCAGTCAAATCTGACCTAGACCTTCACTGGGGATGTATAAATTAGGTATTTTCATTCTACTTGTTTCATATTTATGATTGCATAAGAAGACTTATTCGAAAGGAATGTCCAGATGGTATGTTTCATTGTTATAATGAGAAATATTTGAGAGGATCTTACTTTGAGTCCTAGTATAAATTAGAAGAAATTTATCATGTTGATAGAAAAACGAATGACATAGCATGTCATGAACATTATTCTTCTAATGTGTGCCGGGATATTATTTATGCTTGTATGGTGTGCTTTGACATGAAAAAAAGTTGGAAAGCACTGATGCAGATTTTAGTTTCTTTTTCTAATATGTATATTTTATAAATTATCTGAGATGATTTTAAAAACACAAAAGATTAAGAAATAGCAAAAATAATATTAATGACTATGTACTAATGTTAGATGACTTTTTAATTTGATTATTACAAAGTTCTTTCCTTTTAATAAGTATAAAATTAATTATTAATTAAGTATAAAATTTTAAAAGAAATATATTACTAACCATAATGAAATCTAGGAAATTAAATAACTGTGAAAATCAAGGTTTTTTCCCCTAAATATAGTATTTATACAGAGACCTGGAGGGACATCTATAAAATGCACAGTATCAAAGAAGACGAAAAGTTTTAAAATTTAGTTTTCCTGTTGCTTTTATTGGAATGATTCAGGATTGTTTCAATACAGTCTACCTGGTAATATCTGTTATTGATGTTCAAGTTTTACATATTGTTCTTAGCCAGTGATGACTATTTAAGAAGTCATAATCTTTGAAATCAGTGCCCATGCTAATTTCATGAATAGTATGAGCATCCATAATACTGCAGTTTGAATTTGAAGAAAGTTCATTGTGTTTACACCTGCATGCATCTGTCATTATGGGTTAAGCAAAGGAGAAGATCTTTAAATGGTATTTAATCTTTGTTTCTACAATTTTATGTAGAAAGTCTGCTTCTCTGTTTCTTTTGAAAATATGGTATCCCAAAAGACATAATAGACAAGCAAGGACATAGGACTGTAATTGTTACAGCTGATCAACAAGTTATAAAATGATTTCGTAGCTTTCTTCATGCTTTATAATGAATGATTTCTTGTGTATGGAGATCTGTTCTTGTTGCTCCAATACTGTCCAAATTTAAATTTTAAAATACTGTATTAGTATATTTAATTTGAAATATTTTATGTATCACAAGAACTCTTATGAACACGTACTAAACTGTGGCATTAAAAGTAAATTAATTTTAAAAAATCTTAAAACAAAAACTGTATCTCTAAGGTGGGTAGGGAAATGAATGAAAGGCAGCTAGTCTTTTGTAGTTTTATTATAGTTTGCATGTTTTCTTTAAACCCGTCTGGAATTATAATATATATACATAATATCAGTTCCTTTTCAAATGTAGTTTGCTAAATAAGTGCCATATTACCGTATATTTCCAAATATAAGCCGAAAGTGCTTTTTTCTTCAAAAATATACCCTAAATACAAAACCCGTATATAAGCGGAAAGGAGGGGATGGGAGAAAATGTATGAAGATGTTGCCATGAGAGTGAAATGTTAATGTTGCCAACTAGGTAAAACGAGTGGAATATTTTGCACTATTTGCACATGCTCTGGCGGTGACCCTGTGGTAACCCTGCTTGAAGCTCACACATTTATTCTATTCATTATCTTGTATACAGTCTGTAGTATATGTACTAGTCTTATTCTCCTTGAAAGTGAGCTGGGAAATATAGTAGAGTTCCGCAAACTTGGCATTATGTGGGCTGAGAGACTGGGGAGCTTAAGAAAAGTCGAGTTTTGCAGAATAAGGGGTAGGTTTTTCGGAGCCCTTTAATATTTAACCCTTTGACATCCAACACCTAAATCCATTGTAATTTTGTTTACACTTTTCTCTTTCTCCATTCTCTTTAAAGCATCTAGTTTCATTTCCATTGATTGTCACATTAGTTTGTTTTCTTTTGAATGACATTTTCACTTCACAGAATATCAAAAGTTCCCCAAAATATGTAACATTTATACACCTCGATGTGAACTGAGGAATGATACTCGCAATGAACTGGTGTGAGATTAGTTTGTAGTAAGATGCAGTCACAAAACTTCAGACAAGTCTCCTAACATTTTGCAACCATAGAAAGGAATGTGAGCCAGCCGCTATCTGACTTTCTTTTCATCGTCAAAAGAAGGAAAAAGCATTGCCAAGTATAACAACATATCTTGAAATTTGTTAGGCAGTTCCAAGAGTTAATGGTACAATGCAAAAATGGCAAAAATTACAGAAAAAGAACACAGAAATCATGTGCAATATTTGCTCTGTTTGGGGGCTAGAGTTATTTAAAAAAGTTCCTGAAAAGTTGTTGAGTTTGCGGAACTCTATCGTAATTTTTTATAGGGCAAATTTCAAATGATAGATGATTGAATTTGCTAAAAATTCTAACAAGAGTATGGCTGCTTGGCATTTCTATGTGAATAAAAAACAAGTTTGAGTGTGATGAAAGACGGACGCAAATTTCGCTAACAGACATTTCATTTTGTCAATAAACCAGCATTATAAACAATTTCGAAAATAAAACAGCTGATTTTCATAAAACGAATAACTAATTTCATAAAAAGTAATTTCTTTATAAATTTAATATAAACTAAAATAATAAAAAAGTGTGATATTTAGTGATTAATCGCTTGTGCCTAGTTAATGGAAAAGTACTTACATTTTTTGCAAAAATTAGTGGATCCATGTATAAGCTGACCCCCCTCCCCCAACTTTAGAAAGGTTCTAGAATTTTTCGGATATACACACGAAAATATGGTATTTGTATTTTTGGTTTCTTGGTTAAATATATATTTATTGTAAAATGCAAATAATTCACTTTTATCTGCATTCTTTGTATTTTTAACTGGAGTATTTTCTTATGCAGTGTTTATGTGTTGCTGCTTCCTAATCTTGCACGAATAATTCTGAAGATAAAAATGAAAATTTTCAGTAGATTATATTTTGCTTTTAGAATTTAATAATTCAAGATATTTGCAATGTTATTAGTATTCTAGTTTTTTTTTTTTTTTTTTTTTTTTTTTTTTTTTTTTTTGTGAATTTAGTCAGAATAACATGTTTTGATTTTAATGTAAGTAACTTATTAAATAAAACTATCCATGAAAAAACTAAAGTGTAGATTTTTAGACGGTATGTGTCATAAAATTGTATAAGTTTAATAATTATAAATTTTTATATATTCAGTATGTAAATATTTATATTTTTTGAGGAAAATGAATTTTGATTAGATAATGCATTTGAGATATTGATAATGATGTAATTTAAAATATTTCATTATTTATAAAAATAATTGAGATTTTGTATCAGTATTAACTATTTAAGATAACAGTAATTCAACAGGGACTTTTTTAAAAAGAAGTATTTAATTAACAGTTAAGTAATTCAATAAATTTTTTAAAATAGAAATATTTCATTTCCTTTTGGGATTGAATTTTCAAAGTAATAATAACTAAAACGAAACGTGGGTTTAGAATTTATTTATGAATTACTTGAGTTTACTGAACTTTTTTATGTAAACATATAAGTATTCAATATTCTATATCAGTTCAGACTTTAAAAAATATTTTATGATTAATGATATTTAAAATAAAACCGTAGGAATAGTAATAAATAATAATAAAATTAGACTGTCAGTGATTTGTATTTTCAGTGTTATTCTGTATGTAAGATGTGTTATGTAATATACAGTTTTATAAAATGTTTTAAGTATATGGTAATCTGAAAGGACAAAGTATCATAGCAGTATATGTAAATCATCTATAGCATTTCATGTCATGTCAAATGACATTGCAAAGCTGGCAATGGCTGTAAAGGTCTGTTTATATTGGCAAGTAATTGCAAATGAAAGTGGTGATATGAGTTAGCAGCCAAGTGTAGATGCCATGAAAAAGTATTTTCTTTGGTGGCTAGAGTTTAGTATTTTTTATGTCTGATGGTACACAAGTCTGTTTAGATTTAAGATTGTGAAATACATTAAAATTTTCAAGCACAAAAATGGAAATCAGTATAAATGTGCTGCTGACTGTCAAGATACATGTAGATAAAGACTTTATTTTTATAACGAATTACTCAGCAACTTAATATTGGACTTTAATGATGCCTTGTCTGCTGGCTTATAACTTACTCTTATTCTGTGTGTCATGATAAAACTTGAGTATGACATTTGATATACTTATAATGTATACATGTTAGTTCGGAAGTCAAAGATATGGGACTTATTTTGCTGAAGCATATTATTTTTGAATTTCTCAATGTTAGAATTTTGTTATTTTGATCTTATTAATCATGTTTCTGATTGCATGCAGCGCAAGTGAGACGCAGATAACATTGAAAAGATGAATTATTATGCATATGTAGAGCAATGCTGGTAAATGAAAATAGTATTAGTTTTTTTTTTTTTTTTTTTTTTTTTTTTTTTCATGATATTTTCTAGAGTTACTGTATCTTTAGCATGACTTACCAATGATTTACATTCCTTCATAAAGATTTCCTATAATAATGCAATTTTTTGACGTAATAGTGTCACTGTGCAGTAGTGGCAGCCAACTGTTTAAGGAAATTTTCAGATGATTCTGGAGCATTCAAATTACTTCTCTAATCTCCTGATTGTATCCAATTGAGAATTTATGCAATGAGTATAATAGTTGGGTTCATTTGTGCAAAGTTTTTCTGGCAGCTGAAAATGCTGAAAAAAGCCTGAAATGTTTGCAATATGCATTATAATCTCGTATCTATCATCTCATTTGTTGTAAAGAATAATCTAGCCTACATTTCTGTATGGAACTCATTGAATCACTGTAAGATATTTCATTACTGCTTCTGTAAAAAACAATAGATGAGCCATCAGTTTATTAAAATGTATGTGTTATATTTTGTTCTTTAATCCTAATTTTTAGACTCCAGGTATGCTTGCATGTAACTCAATTTCTGTTGTTATCCTTTAAAAAATTTAAACTGCAGTTCAACCGATATTTTATTGAAAGCCTATGTTGCAGTGATCGTAGAATGAAATATCCTGAATTTTTAAATTCTTTAAATAAAAGAAAAGTGTAGGGAAGATTTGTGAATTAATGAACTTCAAAATGATTCATAATGAGTTAGCAGTAAAAATCTGAGATCAGGAAAACTAAAACATGTTATGAAAAATAGCGAACCAAAAACAAGCTCATCTAAAAAGATGCTGGAGAAACAGTAAATAAATAACTGATCATGATAAATACTGAGGAACTGATACTGAATGTTGAAGCATGGAAGTATTAACTTAGAATTTTAGAAAGTTCCCAAGGCTGAAAAAAGAGTTAATTTTATAATTTCTGCATTGCAATTAAATCCAGACTAAAAAATTTATACCATTTTATTTGATTTTTACATTGCAATATGACTGTTATAAGGCTGGCTGCCTTATTGGGAAGGCTTTGCTTATGCTTTTAGAGACCTTTTATTTGCAATATTGCATTTCTTTGTTTACATGCTGTTGCCAGATAATTATTGTTCTATGCTTTTTAGGTTACTTTTTCATGTTGCAGTGTTCCAGGGTTTGTTTCCAAGGTCTTTCCCCTCCCCCCCATACTCTCAATATTTTACTTTTAGACATCTTTTTCAGTGCTTCTTCATTTTAAATGTTTCTTTTCATGGGCTTTTCTAATTCAAAATTTCAAAAGTCAGTTTAATGCATCAGAAAGTTCATATTAGGAGCATTGTTATTAACGTTTTTAGGTATTTCACTCATTATTTTGCTTGGAGAAGGTGGATATAAGAGAGTATTTCTAATGCTGGGGGTTCATCAGGATAATAATAATTCTTCATTCGGTATGCAAAATAAGGACAGCTTTTCTGAATTTCAATTATTGTATGCTAGAAAAATTTGAAAACAAAGGGGCAACGTAGAAAAGTGCGATATACTCTGCATTTGTGCAGAAAGAAGAAAAAATTATTGGAAAATTTCAAAGCAAAGTACTTGTATCTTAGCCAGAATCAAATGTAGGTCGGAAATACTGCTTGACCCCCCTCCCCTCTCGCCATACTTCAGGGATTCCCCAAATCATGTTAAATATAATGATAGTAATATAAATCCCCCAGCCAGTCTTTAAAACCAAAGAATCATTTGAAGTATCAGAGAACACTGTATCAAGGACTACAGACTATCTTTATTGTGCAGCATTGAAAACTGTGATAGGCATAAAAAGTAATTGCTTTCCATTACACTTTTGTCTGGCTTTACTAGGCATGCTATTAACTATTGACAGATTCATTCATGCACATTTAAATCATCTTTTGTAACTTAGACTAGTTAGATCCTACAGTGTGCGTGCATTATGCTTTTTTCTGTGCTGTGATTATTGCTCAGAAGTTAAAAATGTTTGTTTTCTATATCATGATATCATGCATTGGTTTGGAAAGTATTCTTGTAACATAGCATTAAGAAAGAGATGGGGAGAATGAGAATAAGAATTTTTTACATGCAACAGCTGGTCCATCCATCAGGAATAAAAATTAAAAAGGTGAGCTAGACCACTACCATAGTTAACTACCCCATGAACCAAAAAAATAACTGGTGTTCAGATTGATTCAGCTGAGTACCTTGGTGCTTATTATAGCTTCCAGTTCCAGTTGAGAGAGTGCTAAAAATACCTTGATTTTAAATATATGTATATACAGAGGGTGTTTATACATTTTAAGAATGATTTTAATAAAGAATTAAAGCAATAGTTTTGGAATAAAAATTCATGTCAATAGTTTATTATTTAAAATGAGAAGTATTGTTCGCTACTTTTTAAAATTTATTTTTCTTTCAAAATGTCACATGTGAATAAACTAGATTGAAAAAATGTTTTTATGCTTTCCAAGGAGAAATTTTCTTATTCGATAATTAAAAATTGTTGTGAAATGCATGGTATTAAGATTTTGAAGTTCAGAATAAGCAACATTGAGAAAAACATCAGTCATTATTTTTATATAGGAAGAAGACTCCAAATGAATATCCAAAAGAGGTATGTAATATTTCTAAAGATAGTTTTATGTCTGATATTAACAGAAGTTATTTCATTTCTGTATCCCACTGACTTTCAACGAGTGAAACTTTATCAAAACAAAGCAACAAATCATACTTCAAAAAGTACCATTGCATTCCTTGAAAAAGTAAAGATTGGTAAAGATATAATATATATGTACATTTTCTATGTATTCCTATGAAGTCCCCTGACCTTTCACCTGTGTGCTATCGTGCCTCTTTCTAAGCACAAAAGCCACCATGATGAATGGACTATGGAAGAGGAATAAAAATCAGTTCCCTTGGAAATTTTGAAAAAAGCCGTTCTGTCATGGAAATTGCGATATAGACATATAATCCAGAAAAAGGCTATCAGATCGAACATTTAAAAAAATACTCTTTATGTTTTAAACATTTATTAAACGGCCTCAAAATCTTTCTAAAATACGTAAACACCTTCTGTAGTTCTATTATGGTAATCTTTTATTGGATTTAAGATAGTATTTATTTATTTTTCAAACTTCTTTTAAAAATTAATTTGAGTATAAAGTGGAATATACCCTGAAAGAAAAATTTATCAACAGATGTATAGGATTTTGAATGTTTTCATTTCCTTTGTCTTGCCTGAAGGACATTAAGTGAGATAATTTTATAAAATGTTTTGGACAGAGACTTTTATAATACTAAATTATTTATTGCTTTTTGAAATTTTTACTTTGAAAATATGTAAATAATATTAGCATAAAGTTTTCTGCCAGAGTGGTTTTCTTTTCAGTAATGTGTTATGTGTTTAAATATTGTATATAAATTAAGTTCTTTTTCATTTCAATAAAGTTACATGAAATTGAAATAAGTTCTTTTCTTTCTTTAAGTATTCTTTGTCGCCAATCTACTTTTTAAAAACATACATTAAATTAGAGTAATGTCTGAAAATTTGTCTACAATCTTTTCTT